TCTATCAAAGCTGCCTTAAAACTCATTTTTTTGGAAGATAAACTCAGTTTTGCGTCAAGAAAACAGCTCAAACCAAATTACTTTTTCCCAACGATTAGCCGAAAAAGCCAAGTTGCGAGAGCTCGTCACGCAAAGATCGATTTCTTTTCTAAGGTATCGATCAATAACCTGACCAAATGGCTCCTCTCTGTCTGCAATGTAGCTTCAACAATACGCTTTCTTATTCATCAATGAACCCATCACCGTAACCCATTGCTCGGAGAACCTACCAGGGAACGGAAACAGCACAGCTTGACCCCCAGATGAGTTGATTTTCTCGGCTAATCGCTTAGCTTGTGTCGATTTTCCACTTCTGTCCAGTCCCTCGAAAAACAAATTTTAAAGGCGCACGCACGAGCCATAGCCTGCCAGTATCCGTTGAATAAAGGAAATACCGGAATTTTTACAGGAAGGTTACAAAGTCGGCTGTCGTCAACAGCATCACAGTACTTCGATGAAATGCACCAGAAGAGCAGAAAATTTTATTTAACACAGTAATTTCGCTAAATTATCGCTAAATCCTTTCCATTCTGCACACTCTACCAGTGGTACATGGTCTTCTGTACAGCCCAGTAGCGATGACATTTCACCAGCCAATTCAGGAACGAATATGCGAAGATGAAACGGAAGATCGTTTTCACCTGAAGAACATCATCCCGGAACGTGTTACAAATTCGAGTTCAGAAGAGAGCCAATGAAACTCACGGTATTTGCGTATACAGGACCAGAGTAGTATTTGTGATGGACCCTCCATATGTTCCGCATAAACTCGTTGTACATAGCACCTGGTGTCTTTTCACGCCGAGCAAACCATGCTGGGAGATCGGCAAGCTTTACGTCGAAGAGCTTGGTGTCCACTAAAATGTGCAGAATCCTGAGATACAACGGGGGTTATCACGCCGATTAAGATTCAAGGAAAAGTTTCTGCTTTGCAATAAAGTTAAGAAGTTGCTGATGGGCTAAGTAGAAAGATGTCTACTATGGAAGAAATCAAGACGCAGTTCGGCCCGGGGGGGGGAGGGAGGAAGGAGGAACAATGCTACTCCGCTAAGCCTGACCATGCCAGGTTGTGACAATGTGACACTTCTTGTAATCAAAGTATCTCACTTGTACGATTGCGTTTACACGTACGCCCAAATGAAACTTTTACGTTTGATCGTGATTTAGCCGAGGGAGATACCTTGAAATGCAAAATGCCCATCCCAAAGCCAAACAGAAATGAAGGGTCGAAAACAGAACTGGCTAAAAGATCCTGTTCTACAAGGCACTGCTTCACGGCAATCACCTTCGATAGGAACAGATAACTCTAAAATCCGATAGGAAGAGCGCACAAGCCAACAAGTTCTTTTCAAAATACTATGGAGTTTACATATAAAATTATAAACTGCTACGAGGGGGAACATTACAAAAGAAGGAAAAAACGACAGTGATACAAAAATGAAAAAAACCTCGATTAAACAAGGGTTTGAGATGATAAAGGCGCTCCTTAGCTATGGGGAAAGGGGATGGGAGGGGGCCATTTTGCACTTTCGCCAGTCTCCCTTTCTTGTTCTTATCACATACACGTTCCATCCTGAAGAGACCTGTAGACCCCTCGCGAGCGAGCGACGTAAAACAGAAAGATTATCTGCCATAAGTAATACAGAATTCTTAGAGGTCTCCACAAGAAGTTCCATACGAAGTCGATCTGCGCCAAACAGTAAAATGCCTGGACAGAATACCCCGAAGACTCCCTCAGAAGTTCCACAAAACCAAGAGATATACCTTAATGAGGAAAGAGTGGCTATCCTTCACCTTCTAAGGTAGTTTCACCTTCATGAACAACCAGCAAGAAATAAAGTAAAAAGCACAGTTAGAAAAGAAATATAAAGTAAAATAAAGTAAAGAATAGTCATAATAAAATAACGAGTAAAAGGGTAGGGAAAGAAAAACGATCCGAAAATCTGTTGAATGAGCAACGCTTCTAAATAATGTTTGAATTTTATAACGTGCTTCTGGTATTACAATAAAAAAATGGGAAATAAAAACAGACTTGACAGATTTCAAGATGTAGCGAACTCACATTTTCCGTAATACCGATGATGGCAGTAAGGACCGTGGATGTTCTTGTTCCATCTTTTGTCGAACAGACCGATTTCGGTTTTATTGAGGACCCTGAAATAATTAATAGTTACCAACAGTGGAGGAGACTGGTGGGTATTCAAGGCTCGGTGCGGTTCTTGCTGCGAAAGGTGAGGGAAGTTCAGCTGCCCTGCAAAAATGCTGGGTCTTTTTTTGGAGACCTATTTTAGTTTTTTGTTAAAGCTACGAGTTCGTATGGACTTCATTGCCACACTCATCCAATTTTTTCATGTTCGACGGGTTTAGTGCTGGAATCAAAGCATAAAGGAACAGTTGCGAGCGAGGAAATAAGGAGCTCTGGCCCGAGAGCAAAGTAGGGGGATGAGGGATTGCTCCGGGATGCGGTGTACCAAACTTCAGCAAATATTGTCGCCAATGAATTTCTTTGCGTTTTTTCGGAAACTTTTAGGAGTTATAACGTGTGGCGACGGCTGTCAATCTTCGGGGCTAGTTGCCCGAAGAACTTAATTAGTGTGAATAGCGCGCAAACTTGAATTCATAAGTTGCCAACAGTAAAGAGAAGTACCGCAGTGTGATTTAGAAGGATGACAATGAAGCGGCCTGACTTGTCGGGCCTCTTATTACACTCAAGGACCAGTGTACCAACAGGTACAGTTCGGCATTTATGTATTTCTTTTCTAGTACCTTCAGTTAGTTCATGGTTAATGAACAGTCTTTACATAGCTGTGACCTGCAAATTCCAATGGAACTGCGTAAAATTTCCCCATCGAATGAGCCACGTTAGAGCGCCTGTTCTTGCTTGCGATGAAATTCGACAGCGATTTGAAGCGATGCGCGATGGAAGTGTCTGCGCCCTATACAGTCGTCATCCTTGCACTTGATAGTCAATGTCAGTGCGGCTGCGTGCGGCGCGGTCGTCCGCACCCGTACTGCACCAATCGTTGAACCAGGAAGTGACATTTAGGCTGCGTTTATTACTTTGCCGCAGCGATAAGCGTAGCGCTTAGCGTAGCGTAGCGTAGCGTAGCGCTTCCAGCGTACGCCAGCGGCAGTGCCGAAGAGAGGATGCATATCGATCTAGCTTCACCAGCGTCACCAGCGGCACGCTGGCGTACGCTAGCGGCACGCTAGCGTACGCCAGCGTTTCTCCAGCGTTTCACCAGCGTTTTGCTAGCGCTTGCAGCGGCAGGGAGTAGAGACTATGTGGCCGTGAGAGACGCGGAATCGATGTGCATTGTAGAGACTATGTGGCCGTCGGAGACGCAGAAGCGATGTGCATTGTAGAGACTATGTGCCCGTCGAAGACGCAGAAGCGATGTGCATTGTAGAGACTATGTGCCCGTCGAAGACGCAGAAGCGATGCGCATTGTAGAGACTAAGGGCGAGTGAGAGACGCGCAATCGATGTGTTTTGTACCCTCCAGCTCTCCCATAGTCTCTACTCCCCTGCCGCTGCAAACGCTAGCAAAACGCTGGTGAAACGCTGGAGAAACGCTGGCGTACGCTAGCGTGCCGCTAGCGTACGCCAGCGTGCCGCTGGTGACGCTGGTGAAGCTAGATCGATATGCATCCTCTCTTCGGCACTGCCGCTGGCGTACGCTGGAAGCGCTACGCTACGCTGCGCTACGCTACGCTACGCTGCCGCAAAGTATAAACGCAGCCTTACTGTATTATATCCTTCGTGTTACTCGTTTTCTATCACTTTTTGTCGCATACGCGTTTCAACGAAAAGGCTGAGAAGGCTTCAAACAGTGTGCACGCTCCTTCTCGCCGACACGCCCCTATCAAGTGCAAGGATGACGACTGTACAATGAACTAAACTACCACTGGTTGAGGCATATCAAAATCCTTCTTCTGCTATGAACCACTACTTTTTGTGTCGGTTTTTATTTTATGTACATACTCGCATGCATGTCAGTCCCTCCACAAAATGTTTTATGTGCTTTAGAAATGGGGTAGCCAAATCAATAGCGCGGATGGCAGCAAACTGTAAGACGAAGTCCGTTAACAAGTACGGCAAAGAGTGGGGAAGCGGGACGGGACACTCCTGCGTGAAAAAATAAATAACTGAAGCTTCTAATACTTTCTAATACAACATAAGGTAACTCACCTATTGTAGAAAAACACTCCAAACCGTTCGATGGCTCGTGAAATCGGGATGAAGATGAGGTCTGGAACCCACGGTCTGAGTTGTGTGCCTGGCGGAGGAGGACGGAACCAAGCCATTCTGCTGTAAAAGGAACTCAGCCAGTGATTTCTTACAACATGATGACATTTCATTCAAGCCCTATTTCGACGCCACCGCGAGATCGAATTCATTCACAAGCTGAAAAGAAACTACATACATCATTCAGATAGCTTTGAGACAGAAATGCCAAGAAATCGAAACGAAGATGGTTTGCAATGAATACAATATTTTCCGTGGAATCATGGCAAGCGAAAATTAGGACGCACTTAATGATTGCCAACTCGAAAAACGTGAACATGAACACGCAGACTTTGGTAAATCTAGCCATGACAACGTATGGCTATTTCGCCCACATACACACGTGAAGGAAGTCGAATAAAAAGTGTGGATTATCTTACTGTTCGGTCACCAAGAAGTGCCAGCAGTAGAAAAAAACGAAACCCGATCAAGCGCGTTACGGAAGTAGTCTTGTATTTCTGTTTCGTACGCGTTAATAAACCAGAGAATTCATAGGACGTGTGCCTCTTTACTAATACTCCTAAGTTCTATTGTACGATTCGTTTCAAAATGTAAACACCATAAAACTTAAAACACTGAACTTAAGAGAAACAAGAACAGGCGGTGCAGCACCGCCTAAACCACCTGCAAACAGACTATCGTTGCGGGACCGCTGTACGAAATTCGCATTAGAGCGCACCAACACCACCTGCCCATCATCTCGTTGGTGGAGCAGTCAACCAAAAATTGAGTGCAACTGAAATCGTTGGACTGAGTTCGTTGGACTGAGTTCCATCTTCAGCAACGTTCTCCCTTAGGGATTACCAGTGAGGGGGTGTATTTGGTCGCACGATGGGCTGAGGTTGTAATTGCCCTTGCGAAAATGTTTCCGGTTGTTGACTTTTATCGGGTCTTCCCGTTTCAGAAAATGACAGGATATCCCTCCAACTTTCAGCAAAAAAACCCTTGCTCGTAGGCAGTTTTGAGTGGGAAAAGTGGAGGAGTTCTGAGGGATGCTACGAAACTCTGTCAGAAACTATATTTTGCTTCTGTTAACTCGTCAGATAAACTGCTGAGTGGTTGACATAACATCACTCAACAGCCTAATTCGAAATCAGAAGAGCTGTAACTGGTGAAAGTAGCGATACATGCTACTAGACAAGAAAAGATAGAGATAAATATCAACTATTTATATCGGAGCCTCGATACATAAAACCGTATGTACCCGTTTTAAAATCAACAACAGTCCTGAGGACATATTCACAAAGTAAATCAACAAGAACGTTAACAATTCTCGATTCTAAACAGCCGAGTTTGGGCCACCCACAGCGCCTCAGCACCCTTCCCTAATCAAAGCTGGGGAGTAGAGCAGAGACGACCAGAGTCGCGGGAGCTACTCAAAATTCAGATTTCTCTGCGCTCGTCTGCATGGCGTTCTATAGCCACTGCAACCCCACAAATCCCAACTTTTCAGTTATAGTTGAAGGCTCATCTATCGCAGCGCCCTCCCCACCCATGGAGCCTCGTCGTCTGCCCTCTAACCTAAGCCTTGATAGGACGAAGGAACGCACAGATACTGCGTGTGGCCTCGTTTAACTACGTCAGCACCTACTTCTGTAATCTAGCAATTAAGAACCTATAACAAAATTCTTGAAATCGTGAAAATCACTGAAAGTGACCGTAGGTTCGCCACTCGAAGAAGCGAAGAATGGAGCACTAGAAGCCTGAAAGTGTAGAGCTTTAGCTGTTGATATAAGAACCTCAATTTTAAGATAAGATTGGAAAGAAGACTTTCTCTATTGTATTGAGGGTTATGTAGAAATGATTGGGGTAAATCTCTACAGGGACATTTGCAGCGCTTTCTGTGCATTGCTTCCAATGCACACAACAATCACTTAATGTGTTTCAAATCAAGCCAACGCCAACTAAATTTTTGATAAGAGAGTATATCGAAGGTAAAGAAGCTACGCTCGGCCTCAGACCAAGCAGGAAATTCTAACATGGGTAGTGAAAAAAAAACTTGGCTCTCTGTGTTGAGAGAGCGGCGCTACCAGTAACACTTACCCCTAATTGAAGTGCCTCTTGAGAGTTCTCATGAAGGAGCTGCCGAGAATCCACGTGTGAAAGACGAGAAATGATCTCGTCCGAATCTTTGAAGCTCAAACCAGCTTCACGTGAGCATTGAAATAGATGAGCTCCTTTATGGACTAGCTGCTTCCGTTCCCATATCCGTTCTCCGACAATTTCAACAGAACGCAGGAAGTGTTCAGGAAAATGCTTCTTGATTGAAGAGAGAAATATTGCAGGTGTTATGGTGCCATAAGCGCCGTATCATCGCTGGAATAAACCTGAAGAAGTGGTTGCTGTTCCGGTCAATAGAATGGATCCCAAGGACTGGGATAAAGCGGGCGGAGTGGCGTGTTGGAACACAACACAGGCACTTCCTATCCTTAGGATTGAAATGTTGCAAAACACGACACCTTCTTCTCCACTAAAACTTCCTCCTCCAGCGCGAGCCCCTTCCCTATGCCATCTACCCTTTTCTCATTTTCTCCCAATCCGACCGCATCTTTTCTCAATTTTTTTGTGAAAAAGCTGCCATCAGGCAGGAGGGGAAGGGTGGCGGCGCACATGAAACTGAAAATCTGAGAAAGTCAACAAGCGGTAACAAAGCCACGTATGACCCCCTCTCTCCAGCAACACGACCCTTCTCGCTGAGCATCCCTAACGTGCGACGTGCTTGGACAAAGTACAATTCCGCCTTCTTCGTTGTAGCGCACCTCCTGTTCACTGTCACCAGGAGAGGTGGAGCAACAGGAGAAGCACATAGTTGTCTGTCCCCGCCCACTCGTTATCGTGGGATGGCCTTCAAGCGGCAATGGGCACAATGGTTTGGGCAGCGGAGCGATTAGTGCCAACGTCTCTGGGGCAGAAGGCTGTGGGTGCGGCCCTCTCTCAGTCGTTCAACCAATGACGTTGGCAGTAACCGCCCGCCCCAGCACTGTCTTTAAGTGAAGGTAACAGTAAATTTCATACACAACCTCTTCCAATCCTTTAGGATTACATCGCTTTTCTGAGTCATGAAGCTTCTTTGTAAACATTATTCGATGAATTTCCCAATATGGTAATGGTCGTCTCTATACTTGATGTTTTCGCTTCCCTTGAAAAAAAAGCACGAGTTCTCTAAGTTACAAATTCGGTAGGTTATAAAAACACTCACATCTTCGTTCTAGCCTCGACTGATAGGACCTAATTAAATAGAGTTTAACATCACATATTGGAACAAAGTCAACGGCATTCATAGAGTTAGGAATGCCGTTCACAACTTTCAAATGCTGCAATAACGTATATAGTAAGGCGCAAATGAAAGTCGCACATCACAAAAAGTAGCAGGAAGATAGGCGACCCAAATGACCTAACTAGACCGCAATACCGCAAAGCAAGTAGGCGACCGTGTCGCGACGCGAACTTATATACACGTAAATGAGAAAACATTCAGCAATCACACACTATTTCTAGTTATGTCGTAAATGAACTGAAAAAACGTATATGTACACCTTACCTTGAAGCTTATCCATGAATTGGGACACGCAATGTCGAAGAAACATCTTCCATTCGCTGAACTGACATTTACCTGAAACTTCAGAGGGTGATATTCCGCTTTATGACGAACGATCATAGTCCTTTGACAGTAACCGTTAGTTAGTTGGTAACGATAACATCGAGAAATGACTGTGCAACTGCTGGCAAAACCAATGTTCCCATTGAGCTAGAGCGAAATTAAGCAACGGTTTTCACCGTTCCCTGACCAGAAAGGTAGTTCCCTACTATCTTACAACTTTGCTGAACTGTTGCACCCTTAATTCGCATCTGGGTATTTTTTGAAGAGAAATAATAACTGAAAGGAACCAGATATAATTCACAAAGAAGCAACATGTGCTCCACGGAGGTTCACCTAAAAATACCACCCTTCACCTGTGTAATTGCATGCGCCGCGCGGGTACCGTAAGCTCACGCTCAATTTTTCTGCGATGTTCCACATACCTAACCCATGCAGTTTGAGCTGGATGGCTGACGAGAGAGCAATGATGATGGACGGAGTGGACCATAATGCGTAGGACCAAGCACGCCTCCGTGCATTTAATCGTAACAGTTGGTATTAGTCTGATTGAAAGTACTCGTACGGCGTGAGTGACAGTAATTAATTAGTTCGTATGCAATTGGAAGTCTTAAAAGGTACGGTATCCGGCGATCAGATATCGAAGTTGAAATATTCCGTGCGGGAGGACAGAGTGGTCCACGGGACTACATTGAACCGGTTTCGCGGACAAAAATATTCTAGGGAGGGGCGCTATAGCGCAATATAGGTTCAGTGGTTCATCTTTTTTTCCAGTGACTCCGCCTCCAGACCCCGCCTCCAATGCCCGGCTTTCAGTGTAAAACGAGATTGCAAGAAGAAAAAGCATGAAAATCGTCACCTGTGCGGTTGCAGAGTTTTTGTCGGGGAGTTAGCTGCGCGTATGAAGGCGTAGTGTGGGAGATAGAGATAACTGGGAACGTACAAACTTTTATCAAAATGGGGTTCTATCTAGCGCAGGTGGCATGTTTTTTGTGCTTTTTTCTTCACTGTCAAGTTACCCAACCCCTTGTCGTCTATATGGAACCCCCTTATCCACTATCTGAGATGGCAAATAAAGGTGAACAATGAACGCCTAGAGACAATACCCTATCAAGAGATCTCAAAACTGAGTCAGAGGCTGAAGTGGCGCAGTTACAAGTGGCACGCTTATCACGCGCGCAGTCTGAGGTAGAATCTTTGCCGCATTCCACGAAGGCATTGTTCAATGGCGAAGACTTCATCTTTTTTATTATGAACATTGTTCCTCAAGCCGTTTGAGGCAGTGGGGGAATCACAGGTTTGAGCTCTACCTTAGCTATGACCTGTAAGTTTACTATATGAGAAGGATTAATTCGGAGCTACGCGATAGCGGAGTGCAGTGGGGTAAAGCTTACCAAGGTTATAAGCTACAGCAATAGATATGGGCGCATCTTGGCTGTGGGGAAGAAGATTCAAAGGCAATTGGCAGGATAAATCCCCAAGACGTGTAGGAAGAATAGGAGCAGGAGAGAATTGGCCGCCCCAGGCGCTGCGTGGCGCCCATTCCGAAGAAAGCATCCTTATAGCGCCCTATCAAGCTGCAACATACTACCTGGACGCCTACCACGCCCGTCCGCCCACAAATGTCCGACCGATGCCGATGCTCGTATCTCTTCACCATGAAGCGATGGGGTTAATAAGAAGCGGCCGCAGTGCTACATGATATATGAGCACATGCATCGAGCCGTATCTACCGTAGCGGTTATTGGCACGATGCCAACGGGAAACTCGTCCAAAATTGCTTTCTGAGTCGTGTAGAACAAAGGCTTTTTGCAGGTTTTTGACCGTTTCACTTCGTTTTTCCCCATTTTCCCATTGCTATATAGCATCCCTGCTACCATTTTAGACCAAGTACCAAATTATCGTGTCTTGTGCCTTTGAATGTATCCGTAAGCAGCATTGAGCATAGAGATTGCTGTAACAATTCGTTAAAGGCAGTTGGCACGATAATCCGGTATTCGGCCTAAAATGCTAGCAGGGCGCTATATAGTGGGAAATGGCGAAAAAACGAAGTGAAACGGTCAAAAACCTGCGAAGAAAAGCCTTCGTCTCTCATGACTCAAAAGCAATTTCGGACGAATTTCCCGTAGACATCTTGCCGGTAGGTACAGCTGCATGTATGTACCCATATACACTCGATATCCCTGAGATGAGGTAGGCGTGGCTGCTTACTTCAACCAAACGTGGCGGTGACTGTGGTTTTGGTGAGATATTTCATTTTAAGACAATTGTGGTCACTTCTTTGCCCAATATAGAACAGGATGCTAGTTGTCTCAAGTTGAAATATCCCACGAATAA